CATTTTATTATTTTATTTTATTTTTATTTTTTGTTATGATTTCTTTATTTTTATTTTTTATTTTTTGTTATGATTTCTTTATTTTTATTTTTTATTTTTTGCTATGATTCCTTTGTTTTTATTTTATTTATTTTTATTTTATGTTATTTATTATTTATTTTTATGTTATTGTTGGTTTGTTTATTTTATTTATTATATATTTTATTTATTATTGTTATTATTTATTAGAGCTGTTCAGTTTAATAAAAGATACAAAGCAAGCAATAACATAGATAGGAAATGAGAAATAGAAAAACGAGAAAGAAATTAGAGAAAAAGAAAGAAAAAAATGTAGAGTTTTCTCTTCCGCCCTTCTTTCTTTTGCGTAATTGTTACTTCAACTTTTCACCAACCTCTTTGTCCCCTTTTTAGTCCCCAAAACATCAATACGTTTTTCTCTTCGTTCAACAAAAACTGCATATAAGATTTCCAGTCTTTCAAAAAAAGTCTTCATCATTGGCGAGCTACTTTGAAAACTTCTCCTCCAAAGCAGGAGAAGCGAGTCCAGTGGAACTGGGCGGCTAATACATTCGAATAAATAAATAAGAAGAAAAGTTTTTTCTAATGAAATTGCCTCTCCTGCTTTGATTGCTAGGGAAAGAGGGGGAAAAATACCTGGTTTAGTTCTGCATCCGGATGACGACATTTCAGTTCTGCCGGAACTGTTTGCCCCGATGCTGTTTCCATGTAGAAATCTAGCCGATCAGGGGGGAGGCGAAGTTAGAATTCTGTTCCCTTAGATCTAGCTTTCTCCATGCAAGGAGTCTCATTTAAAAAACCCAGAAAAATAGAGTCATTCATTCACGCGCCCAACATTCGTACAACTGCCTGGTGAAGTTGGCAAAAGGGCAGAGGGCACTCACACTGATTCTGTGTGTGTTACAGGCGAAGCCATCCAGCTGGTTGAAGCCGGTGGCGTTCAGGAAACTCCGAGGCCGCTACCTGACCCATCAGGAAGGCTTGCCCCGTCTTCCCGTTCCTCCTCTGCAACAGACCTTGGATCGGTACCTCTTAGCCCTGGAGCCCATCATTAGCGACGAGGAGCTGAGCCACACCAAAGAGTTGGTGCAGGAGTTTCGGAAACCGGGCGGCGTCGGAGAGCGGTTGCAGAAGGGGCTGGAGAGGAGAGCTCGGAAGCATGAGAATTGGGTAGGGGGTAGCCCGAGGCTCGGGAGCAAGCGCGTTGGGGTTGAGAAGAGCCCTTTGCCTGGGGTCCGGTCCCGGGTTTCATCGGAAGATTCATCTGTGCTGGACGCTCGGGCAAAGATGAAACCATTCCAATCCAGTTTTAAAAAAGGATTATGGCTCTGGGATCCGGCAAGTGCCATAGCCTGGCACAAGATTTGCCAATGGGGGTTTTAAGAGTCTTGTTTGGGGGAAGTGGAATTGGACAATATGCATTGGGTTTATAGCCTAGAG